AGGCAGGTAATTTTCCAGTATGTGTAGGCGGTGAAATATCCTAAGCGAAAGACAGCTGTGGTTAAAAAGCGATTTACTTCTTGCCTATACAGCGACTACACAACAAGAATCAGGAATCACCCTGTGGCAAAATATCCCAAGCAGAGGACAGTTGTTTAAAAACCGATTTATCTGTTGCTCATACGGCGACTACGCTACAAGAATCAGGAATCACCTGGCAGGTATGGGTATGCTATTTTGTCAGCGACGACATGTTACATCGTCACTAGCGTCTGCGGTTTAATGACTAACTGTGATGAGGCCTTCGGAAGCTTTGAAAGTTTTTTTAGGCAGAATACGTAAATATCGAACGTGCCCGGCAGAACGTATCACAACCGATCTCTTGTTTACAGAAACCGGATATCACGCCGCAAGCCTTCAAGAAGTTTCTCGTTGATATAGAAAATGGTGAGTGTTCTTTATACTGTTTGGACCCTTCATTTTCTGAGGGCTTTTGATTATGTGCCAGTATAAATTAGATAAGGATTTCGTAATATTTTCAATCGTTTTAAAATTATGCTGAGTTAACACATTACTTTCTTTGACAAATTGATGAGTTGTCAATAATCGATCCTTGTGTTTGCGCAATGATTTCTGGGATCGCCACGGAGCAAACATTGCAGCCTGCTAGAAAGAGATGTGAAGCGAAAGGCAGTTTCGACGTCCTAAAAAGAAAAATTTTTCGAGAGATTATCGCTTTTTAGCAGCTGTTTTATCAGAAATTGATTCGGATCGCATTGATACAAAGGAAGCGTAAGCTTTTTTGGAACAGCTACGAAATATGTAGTAAAATCAACCGATAAACTCCTCTCCATTCGCATGGTTTATCGTGAAATTGACATCCGTCAGTTGATGGTCGCGAACTTTAAAAATATCAGTTATGAATCGCCAAGAAATAACTCATTTAAGCCTTCTCAGTTTTGTTTAATCGTTTTAAGTGTACTTCCAGCTGATTTCTTGGCTTGATAATACAAAAGAGCACTGAAACAGCTACCTCGAATCATTATCACGAGATTGAGCTGATGGCGTGCTTGAGCATTAAATATTATCGCGATACGATTAATTGATTAACCACCTACATTGCTTATTTGTTGTGATCTATAAGAACGAACCTGCGTTGATAATCGGCTCAAAACTGAACCTTTTCTTCTGCGATGATGAGTGGGTTATGAATGTATGCAAGTCTACAGTTTCTGCCGGAGTTCCCGTGATCGTACCTTTCCCGACAGATCCTCCAAGGAGCTCGAGGAGAAAAGTAGCCGCTCAATAACGTTTGGATTTTGCTCAAACAAAATATCACTTGACCCAGGGATTTTTTCATGTATTTCATCGCTTATTCCATCGTTCCAAAGAGCAACAGCTCGGTTGAAAAACATTTCCATCGCGCTGACAACGACTTCTCTCCCTTAAGAAAGTATTTTCAGACTTCGTAAATTGTTTGTTCAATAGCTCGACAAGTACGAAGACAGGCTCTATATGAATAAATACAACTGACAACACTTAAATGAATTATTTCCCAGCGATTTGTGGCTTATTTTGTAATATGGCGAGACCATTACGTGAGGATTTCACAGTAGAGCTTACGAAAGGAAAGAAGTTCCGACAGACTTACACCTACCTTGTATTAGAATACATTAATCCATTTATGACAAAACTGCGCCTAAAAAGCGTTGATCTCTTTTAAAAGTCGTTTTTTTGGACGTCGAAACTGCCTTTCAACATACAGTTCTTTCTTGCGGGCTGCAATGTTTGCCCCGTGACAATCCCAGAGATCTCTGCGCAAACGCAAGGATCCGATTACGGGCAACTCACTCATTGCTCAGTGAAATCTACGAAGTCTCACTTTTGCCTTTAGTAAACTTTTAGCAGTGATGGTGGACAATAATTCTGCTCGCTTTGTGGTCTCACCAATATTGTTGACTTGTATACTTAGTTCTGAGGAAAAAAAAATCTAGATCTTACTCCACTGCATAGAACGTAAATATCATTTGAATGTAAATTACCACGCAATCAGTCTCTAGCTCGCCTAAAATTATGATTATTCTGCAGCCCATTACATGTCTGTTTTCAGAACTAAAATTTGTAACATGTATTTCGTTAGTTTCAACCAAACTACTGTGCGAAATATATAGACACGGGGTAACTTTTCCTCTCTCCAGTCAGTGACGTATATAAGTGTAGTACACACTCCGCTATATGAACTCCTCATCAAATATCTGCATTTTAATTATT